AGTTATGGGCCCAGTTTGGGTTTTTTTCACCACTCTCAATCTGTCACGAAGGGTCTTTACTTCGTGATGTCAAAATTCTAACTACAGGATCAACCAATACAATAGCTTATGTTTAATCACAATGAATACATAAAAGCTGTCATGTCTAGAATATATTACAACTTCAACAACACATTAATCTTACTCCATATCCATTGCATCTTCTTTGTGGCTGTCTTGCACAAATCCCTAAGATCGGAAATAAGTGGAATTAGTATACAGGTTAAAATGGAGTCTCTTTGATCACTCACAATATTTGCTAAGCCAACAATTGAAAGTGTTTCCTTGTCAATATCAAAAGTACCGCTGGGGTTCTTCATGACAACTAGCTGTCCAACGATGTCCTCAACTTTGATGACATGATATTCCTCATATGAATCATAAACAACAGTGGCATTCAGTAAGTCTGGTAAGGAAGAGTACGGATTCTTGTGCTGGTCTTGATGACTCATGGACTTTAGTGAATGCACAACAAGCAGTGGTGCGGCCAGGTTGTTGAGCCGGACTATTTCCGTGATACATCCTGTCCATCTTTGAGAGTTGAGAGCATATGTGATGTACCTATTCCCAGGTGTTGTCTTGTGAGTGCTGTGCGCCTTGTTGAAGATCTTGATGGATGAAGTAACATCAAATTTTGAGTTGAAGGTGTGACTACCCTCAAGATGATTGAAACGCTGGAGTGCCTGAAAGCCTGCAGGACTGAGCTTCTTGACAGTCCACCTTGACTGGCGGTTCCGTTGAAGGCAATCTCTGAGGATTGGATCCGCCTCCATGGCAGAGTGACTATCGTTAATTGTTGCTCTGAACAATCCCCGTCTTGTGTGTTGGTGAAGTAATGTCTCACCCTGTCCTTCTGAAGTGTCAAAGATTGGAATCAGCGGATTTTAAGTGATCAACAGAGGGACAAAAAATACTGACGGATATTTCCGTTCTTAGCTGTCTGAACCAGGCTCCCAATTATCCGCTCACCTGACCAGCTAGCAGTATAAGCTGGTGGCCCAAGCCTTGCAGAGATTTCCCCAATATGTTCTGCAAAATGCAAGTTGGGTTTTTTCTTGATATGTGGCCAGCCATCTCCAAGGGTGGTTTGATAGCCATGAACCAAGTTACCAATCTTTTCCCCGTCGTCTCGTTGAAAACTACGCAAAGTACATATGTTGCCAATTTGAATGAGTTGGAGCAGGCTGGCAAGGATCCTAGCTGAAGTGGTGCCAGCTTCGCCACTAAGAAAATGAGGGACCCAAGCAAGTACAATGTAGACTTTGTATAAAGAATGCCATTCTGCTGCTTTGGGAGTCCCAGCACTTGCCATCCCAAAGGTACCCTGGGGTTTTGTGAGCCATGAGGGAGCCTGGGCATTTTTGATGCATTGCTGGAGCAGATCCAGCTCATAAGATGTGATTGCTGGAACAATCACAGGTATCGGTATCGGTAGGGGTGGAGGTGGTGATGGTGATGGGTTCCACCTTGCTTTATCTTTTCCCTTGATTGTACCATCCGATCCTGCAGAAGAAGACCCTTGGTCATGGAGATTGGATGCTGCTGATCGTGTTCCGTAGGAATGGTGTGATGCTGGTTTGGGCAGAGGAGCTGGAACTGATGGTCCTGGTGGATCAGGAGTTGCAGTACTGGCTGTTGGTGGCTTAGGTAGCTGAACATTGTACATTCTTTTATTGAATTCCATTTTGTCCTTTTCAGCTTCAAGAGCCTTGCCTGCCGCTGGCACTTTTAGATAATTTGTGGAAAAGTCTTTGAAGAGGCCAAGGAAGACGTTGTGCATAATATCAACGGTAAAGAATTCAACCGACTTCCAATAAGGCAGCTCATGGAGGACAGTATATCGTACTCCATTGCTGCTGGCAAGTTCATTTTGATCATAGGCAGTGGGGGCTTGTTCCCATGCTTGTGCTTGAAGTTTCACTTCTGTTGAGGTTTGGTGAGGACATTTCAGTGCTGGAAACTGAGAGTGATATATTCTGTCGGTAATTTGACAGAGTGAACAAAAGTGTCTGGAAGAGTGTGCGGTGAAGGCGGTGACCTTTTTCATTGCTGGGACATCCCCATGGATGGGCCAGATGGCTGCATGAATGGTTCGGCCGACTACAGGATGTTTTGAGGTTGAACTGAAGTTGATGCCTAGCCAAAACTCTTTCATCTCTTCAACCAGAGGCCTGAGAAAGTGATTCATTTCTGTGGTGGATGGTTCTGAGGGACCTGGCATGATTGCGTAAAGGCAGATGTTCTCTCTCTTGTAACGAATTGAAGGAGGCAAGTTGAAACAAGTTAGAAGCATGACACCAACAGAAGTCTTGACTCTAGCTTCTTTGCCGTTTGGATTGAACCAGTCGCACCACAGTCCAAAAACAAGGTTGCCCGAGTGAGCAGTGAATACAGAGCCTGACTTTCGGAAGGTTTTCCATAAGCTGCCATCCCATATGTCATCCATTTGTTGATTGGCAGGCCTTGTACGGTTGAGAGAGGCATCCCAGGCAGTTTCAAAAGCAGAAAACTTGAGCATCTTGCCAAGCCATGAATGTACAGACTGATAAAAAAATAGTCTAGATGGTTTTTGAACTTGTTTACCAGAGGGTGTTTCATAAAGTGGTTGATCGCAAGATTTTTGTTTTTCTTTAGATGTCTTCGAGGTGAATCGAGGATGATTGCACAGTTGATTCATATTGATTTGGTCTATTGGTAGTACAGGATGTAGAGCACAGCAGAAAGGACAACGGATTTTGCTCTGTATGGTGGTATTGAGGTTGAATGTCTTCAAAAGTGTTGGAATGGTGCGAGGAATCTGGGTCCAAGGTGTGGTCTTGAGGTTGGGATCCAACCGTTTGAGCTGCTCTTCTACACTATCACGAGCTGTTTGAAGGCTTTGTCGGCAGGCGTCTACACTGAGCCGGTTGAAGAGATGGTCTTTTGCAACCTTGAACATTTCTCGTAAACACATGGGATGCTGTAAAAAGGTTTTCGGGAGTGAAGGTGTGCTACATGTATATGTGAGCTGTGTTCGTGAGACTTTTGGTTCTGGAGGTTCTGTGTTGATCAAATCTGAGTCGTCGCTATCTCTATCATTGTCTGATTCTTCTCTAGCTCTTTTGTTGGGGCGGGCCGCAGGAACTGCAGAACCAATGGGCGGTAGTATTTCTGTACTTGTAGAGGCATGAGTTGAAGCCAAGTTGGGAACCTATTATCGAGTCTAGGTTCAGTTGACCAGAAAAAATGTAGGAGACTCATTGTACTCACAAATGATAAATGAGGAGCAGGAAAGTTTGATGAAGTACTGGGTGTGGGTTGAACAACGGCAGGAGCTGGGTTGGTTGCTGCATCACCGCCTTCAGGCGGCACAATAGGTGCCTGTTGGAAATGTCTTGGATAAGATTGGCGGCTGAATATTTTGCCTTGATGGACACTTCCCCTGTATTGAATGGTCCTTTGACTGCATCCCAATTCTGGACAACTGCAAAGGACCTGATTGTGGTCCAATGCAATGGCATGTGGTCCTAAAGTGATGCCCATTGATGATGGTTTGGATGGGGAGGATATTTGATTGTTGACTGTGACTTTGGCTGGCAGGATGAAGTTGTCAGGGTAGGGAAAAACATGGGGACTTCACAAGTGCAGGTCATGACAATACTAACATTGTGTAGCTTACATGCTGTGAGGAGTGATATGTATGTATGTGGGTTAGGTTAACACAGCCGTGGGCTAGGGTTGTGGCCTTGACCCTTGCCCACATTCTCATGGTTTAAGGGGCCAAGAGATGTAACCTGGCCTTGCTCTTCTTAGACACACTGCAGTTGTTAGCAGCTGACCTAGGTTACTTGGCATTAATTTTCTTGGCACAAAGCCTCTTCAATTACAGTACTTGTAGGTGTACATACCTGGCGCTACATACTTTTTTTTGGCGGGGAAAACAAGACCAATAGTATGTGGCAAAAAAAAGTAGGGCTGTGATCCGGACCCGGCCCGGCCCGGCCAACTCTGCCCAACGACTTACACAAAGCTGACGGTACACACCCCGGGGCTTTCATGTGTGGCTTAATAACAGCTGAATACCGCCCCTTGGGCACTTCAGGCAACTCAGGCACCCGACCCGGCCGGGGTGCCGACCCTTTTTTTGCCAAAAAAAAGCAAAAAATGCCTTCACACTACTCTCCTACCGGCCCTGGTTGGCCCTGAGCAGTTCTCAGAGGCCATTGGGGTAACTGAGGGCTTGATTTGGCCCCAGGGCCAGACCTGAACTCACAGGGTTGGGTCACAGCCCTAGCAAAATGTCTCTATGCCTACATACTTGCTTTGAGTCCCGTAAATGAATAATTTTTGCATGAGCATGGAAACCAACTGACACACAACTTACCTGTGAGCTGATCATCACCCACTGCCCCTGCCATGCGTCAGGGCTCAACTTTTGGGACTCTGATTCCAACTATTCATTACAATGGCATAAGTTTTTTTTCAGACATAACATGTAATGTATATTACATTCAAAATCATGTATCCCAATTCAATCCTAGGTTTTGCCTGTGTGCTTTGAAAAAGTTTTCTCACCTGGGCAATATATATGGCACATGCTAAATCATGCTTTACAATTCCATGTAGTTTTTGTTCTGGTACTGTGAGTGTCACTAAATTATTGACTATCATGTCATAAGGTTTCTTTTGTAGTACTACAAACCAGGCTATGTCACATTTCATAGCCTGATTTGTAGTACCACAGAAAAAAGCTTATGACATCAGAATGAATGATTTATTTACACTCACATTGAACAGAGGCAAGAGTCCTGACTACATGAGACATCACAATTCAATCAAGGTACATTAGGCATAGATTTTAAAGGTATCAAGCTTTAACTCCAATATTCCAAGAGTTATACATAGAGTGAGACTGTCATTCAAGAAAGATACAATTTGGTTGACCTGAAATTCCAAGAAAGATACATCAAGAAATTACACAATCATTCAGTGACTTCAGGAACTTTGGCAGCTGGTATATCAGGTAGTTCAAACAGCGGAGCTTTATAAGAGTCACCACCTGGAAAGAGAGACCTGTTGGTGCAGAAGGCAAAAAATTCCAACTCCATTGCCTTGCCTAGGTTCATCTTGGAAAAGTCAGTATGGTCCCATGAGTCATCATAAATACCAGAATCAAGATCCCTCCGAGCCTTTTCAAAACCTTGAGGGAAAAGCGCTTCTTCAATAGTATCTAAAATATACTTCTGGGTATACTTCCAGATGGGCTCTTCAAGCTTTTTTCCTCCTTGAAGTTTGTCAACCAGGACTATGAAGTGTGTAAGCTTCACCGCACCATATCTGTTGGCGTCAGTGGGGTAAGTCATGAGTCCCTTGACCCCACCAACAATAAAAGCGGTCAGCGCCCCAATGACTGGGTTTGGAATGGTGCCAGCACCAAGTTTTTTAGTCAGGCACTCATACTCGGCATTGAGATGATCGTGGGTGCCAGCAGGAGCTGTTGAAACAACTTGCATCGTGTGGAAGAATTTAGCCCGCACGCTTACAATTGCCTCCAAGATAGAGTAAAGTCGGTTCACCATATGTGACATGGTGATGACACAGTCAGAGATGTTCAGGATACGTTTGGGGTCTTCCTGTAGCTTTTGGAAGTGGAGGGCCGCGAGAAGACTTGAACGAACAGCTTGATTTGGAATGTTGGCTTCAGAAAAGTCCTGCGGTAGTGTAAGCTCAGGAGTATCCATTGAAGCATAAGTTACTGCGGCAACAATGGTTCTTACACCCTGAGCCAACCTTTTTGAACCAATGTTGTAGAAAATGGCAAGGATATTGCGTGTGAAGGTTGTATGACGTTTATCATCAGGAGTGGAAGGGAGGGAATTGCCGGTTATCGTAAGATCAAAGATATCCGGCCGGTGCCATGGTGCCTCACCGTCACTTTGAACGAGTGAAATGTCTGAACAAAGGAAAGAGAAGTCGTCAGTACAGCACAATGATGTGAACAGACAAAATTCACTTACTGGGCTTCCTTGCAATCCAGTCTCGCACGGCAAGGCTGGGCTTAGGCCCAAAAGACTCACCCACTTCCATGACAGCCCCACCCTCTGGGAAGCTCTCTCCTTCCCGGCGTTGAAGGAGAAGGTTCAGTATCGATTCATAAATCTGCGGCACGTCCGCGCTGACTACTTGGTTCCGGCGAACTGAAGCAGAGGTGACTTCAAATAGAGAGGGCTTGTCCACCTTCCAGAGGCCAGAGGGAGGAGACGGTGTGGGGATTTGGCGGACATCCGCGTTGACCGGAATAGGAACACCTCCAGGTGGAATCGGTGTGATCTGTGGTTGCTTTGAGGAGCTTGCCGAAGTGGTATTCAAGTTTGAAGTCACAGCACCATTAGAGGAGGGGAGATCCGTAGAACTATCAGGAGGATTGGATTGAGGGATGGCCGGAGGTTCTGTTGTGCCAGACTCGTGTGCAGACGCCACGTGTGGAGAATCTTCAACAAAGGGCTGGGATTTAGGTAGAGCGTGTTGCTTCTTCTTGCGCACAACTGGTGGGCTGTTGGTAGCAAGATCTTCCCTCGCGCCTAAAGTTTCTAGTTGAGGAGGGAGCTCGATAGGGGCCAAAGAAGGATCAATGACCACTTTTGTCAGTGCAGTGCTTGACAAGGTTGTGGTGGATGGCTGATCCTTGGGTGATGACAGGCCTTCAACAGGTAAAGTTGCGTCCGGACTGGCAGGCCTAGGAGTTGGAGCTCGAGAGGAAACTTGAGGTGCAGACGCTGGAGGAGTTGGCACTCGAGAGGACACTTGAGGTGAAGTCGCGGAAGGAGTCAGAGGCCTAGGAGTTGGATCTCGAGAGGGAACCTGAGCTGCAGCCGCTGGAGGAGTTGGCACTCGAGAGGGCACTTGAGGTGCAGCCGCTGGAAGAGCCGAAGGCCCAGGAGTTGGACATCGAGAACCAGCTACAGATAGAGGCGCTGGAGGAGTTGGAACTCGAGAGGACACTGGAGGAGTTGGCACTCAAGAGGGAACTTGAGGTGCAGTTGCTGAAGGAGTCAGAGGCCTAGGAGTTGGAGATCAAGAGGGAACTTGAGGTGCAGCCGCTGGAGGAGTTGGCGCTCGAGAGGGCACTTGAGGTGCAGCCGCTGGAAGAGCCAAAGGCCTAGGAGTTAGACATCGAGAACCAGCTACAGATAGAGGCGCTGGAGGAGTTGGAACTCGAGAGGACACTGGAGGAGTTGGCACTCAAGAGGGAACTTGAGGTGCAGTTGCTGAAGGAGTCAGAGGCCTAGGAGTTGGAGATCAAGAGGGAACTTGAGGTGCAGACGCTGGAGGAGTTGGCACTCGAGAGGACACTTGAGGTGAAGTCGCGGAAGGAGTCAGAGGCCTAGGAGTTGGATCTCGAGAGGGAACCTGAGCTGCAGCCGCTGGAGGAGTTGGCACTCGAGAGGGCACTTGAGGTGCAGCCGCTGGAAGAGCCGAAGGCCCAGGAGTTGGACATCGAGAACCAGCTACAGATAGAGGCGCTGGAGGAGTTGGAACTCGAGAGGACACTGGAGGAGTTGGCACTCAAGAGGGAACTTGAGGTGCAGTTGCTGAAGGAGTCAGAGGCCTAGGAGTTGGAGATCAAGAGGGAACTTGAGGTGCAGCCGCTGGAGGAGTTGGCGCTCGAGAGGGCACTTGAGGTGCAGCCGCTGGAAGAGCCAAAGGCCTAGGAGTTAGACATCGAGAACCAGCTTGAGATAGAGGCGCTGGGGGAATCTCGGGCTGAGAATCTGGTTCTCGAGACGAGACTGGAGGGATAGGATCTGAGGGACTGGCCAGCCTAGGAGTTGGAGGTCGAGATGGAAAAACAGGCGTAGGTGCGCGTATAAAAGGTTGGGATTCTTGTAGACAAGCACCATCCATAACCTTCAAGACTGCATGTAACTTGGATTCGACACCTTCGTCACATTGAGTGTCCCATCCTGGGGAGGCTCGAGAGCGTACAAGCCAGTGGCGAATAAGGCCATCGATGCCATAGCGACCGTGTCGTAGTGTCTGCACAAGGACCTCTGTGCCAATCCTCGCGTCCAAATACACCTCCAATTGTGGCCATACAGTACCTGGCGCAGGAGCTGAAAAAGCGGGCCTGAAGAATCCATGAAAGTCACCGTCCGGTTCACCAGATGGTATACTTGAGTCGTGCAAAGCAAGGGTTTCAATTGCTGAGACAACGAGTTCCAAAGTCAGCGGGAATTGGGTGGGGCCGCGAGGAACCGACTGTGTCACGGAAGTACTTGCCGTCGAAGTCGCAGGCTCGGAAGGATTTGACGTCGAAGTCGCAGGCTCGGAAGGATTTGACGTCAAAGTCGCAGGCTCGGAAGGATTTGATGGCAAAGTTGCAGGCACGGAAGGATCGGCGGAAAGCACGGAAGTTGATGTCAAAGTCGAGGTCACAAAGGGACTTGGGGTCGGATTTGAGATAGGGACAGAAGGGCCTGATCCCAATGGGATGGAGTTGCTCTGCAATACATCCCTGATGGCTTCAAGGCGGTCAATCATGTTCATCGAGTTGGATGGGAGCCAACGAGAATCCGATCTGACGGCCGTGTACCACCTAAAAAAAAGAATGTAGGCATCCATTCCTGCTTGTACATACCCAGGCCAGGTTGCACCGGGTAGCGCATCATCCCAAGCGGCTTTGACGCTCTCAGACAGGGACATGACAAGAGGCTGATTGTTTGGGGGATGAGAGAACCGCTTGTTGAAAAAGCGGTAAAAGGGGTCGGAGTCGTCCGGCCGCATAAGGGGAAGCCTGGAGTGGTTTCGACAATAGTCCATAATTGCATTGGAGACTGCGTAGGTAGCCAGTTCTGCACGAGCTCGCGGGGTATGAGGCGCTGCGCTGTACTGAGGTGGTGGCGTGACGGGGACAGGTGCCTTCATGGGTATGAACACAAGGTCCTCGTCGTCTTCGTGAACAGAAGGTGGGGGGGCTGCTTGAGCTAATACCCTTGAGTTTGCTACATTCTTCGCGGTGCGTGAGGGATTGTGACGAGGTGGCAGAGGGTCTTCCTGCGTGGTCTTTGACCTCTTGGGGTTTGAGGCAGTGCCTGAAACGTCATCGTCCAATTTGGGCAACGCGGAAGCTCTACGTTTGGAATTTTCACAAGGTGTGTGTTCCATGGGGCTCTCCAATTGGCGGTCTGGAGCTTTACCTTTGGAGTTGAGGCCAGGTGTCCGTTTGGTTTCCGATCGCGCGTGGGTCGAGGTCGAGGGGCCAGACTGGGGTGAAGGTCCCTGGGTTGAGGCCGAGGGGCCAGACTGAGGTGAAGGTCCCTGTGCCTGAGTGGGAAGGTTGACCTGAACGAGTGACTTGGGATCATTCACATACGTTCCGTTTCAAATACCTAGAAGACAGAAAATGGGAGTATCAATAAAGATGTCATGTGAATATGAACTTTGAAAACTCACAAATCAAGTCTGCTTTGACCTGGTTACCCGCACTTTGGAAGGTCTCAAAGGGATCAGTGGGGTGTGCCTTGTTCTGGAGCTCCGCCATGATCCACTCTCGTTGTTGAAGAAGGTTCGCTTTGAAATCGGCGAGCTCGATTGTTGTTTGCTGCCCATTCAGCAATTCTGAGTGGCTGTTGTGAAGAAGAGGTGTTGGGGCTTGTAGGTCGCATAACAACAAGTTCCCTGGCAAATGGGAGGGTTGAAAAGAATAATAACAAATTAGGAAAGACACCAAATTGTAAAAGACTGAACAAAAAAAATTGGAAGGTCTGCACTTACGTTGTGGGGTGCGGAGTGAGTTAACAGCGAACGATGCTGTGTTGTCAGGCTCCGATTCAGGGTCTGCAGAGCTGGATTGGGCGAAGTCGGATTCACCCATGGTGTTTCAACCGTGAATTCCTTTTTGAAAGACTACGTATGGCTTTGGATTACCGTTGAATCTAGTGAACGAATGATCCCTAGAATTACTATCAGTACTAATAATAATGTGATTCCAATAATAAAGAAAATAAGTGAAATAGAGAACAAGCAAAATAGAAATAAGTGAAATAGAACACAGGTAAAATTGGACTCCTATATAATTTTCCAAGTCTTGATAGTTGAGTATATTGAATTCAATTTATCAAGAACTGTATATATTGATCTAATGAACACATGTTCTTCAATTATGGATGATTTGTCAAGTAAGCTGGATTGAATTGAATGAGTATCTTTTCAATTATCGTCCTGGAATTTAATTTGAGGATTCTTTTTGAAACTTGACGTTTCTTTTTGAATGACTTCGGATGATAGTTAAATTCAGTTAACCAATGATGCCGTGAATAAGTATACTCGATAAGAAAAGTGTGACTCCTGTAATAAAGGAATAAGTGAAATCAACATCAAGTGAAACAGAAAATAAATGAAATAGAGGGTATGTGAATTTCTCTTGAATTTTTTAAATGATTAATAACAAAATGTCCTTTCAATTCGATTCGTTGAAATGATTCTTGATAATGTAGTATATTGAATTCACTCAATTGTTGACGTGATAATTTGGAATTATACTGATGTTCTTGATGTATGATCCTTCGAGTAATTCTTCGTGTAAATTTTTGATATCGACGCCAGGAGATGATTTTTTTTTCTCTTTCAAGGTCTCAAACGATTATTAACTGATTATTTTTCTTTCACTTCAAGTTGTTGGAAAGGAGTTTCAGTGAGTCAAACCTGTAATACAACGAGATAAAAACCAAATGTAAAAAACTGACAGAGGAGATCGGCGTCAAAGGAGATTGACATCGAAGTAGATCGGTATCGAAGAAGATCAACGTCAAAGGAGATCGACGTCGAAGGAGACCAATGTCGAAGGAGATCGGCGTTGAAGTAGATTGATATTGATCTTTTCAGGAGAATGACGTGGATGAACGAAGGCGGGATTGGCAAAAGATGTGGTCAAGGGATGAATTGGAAATGTGAAACACGCTTCAGGTATCCAGGGATAGCCTGGAATGTATCCGGCTGACTCGGACTGAGCCTTGGGCCGGGACACGGGTCAAAGTCGCCTGTGTATTGACATACGGGTGTATTGTGGCTCGGGTCATGGATCCTCTAGATGACCTGCAGCAGCAGCTGCCTGCCGTCTCCAAAACTCTTTGGCCCCCCCTTTTTT